GCGTGGGCGTGGGCGTTGGGCGTGGGAGTGGGCGTGGGCGTGGGCGTGGGCGTGGGAGTGGGGCGTGGGCGTGGGAGTGGGCGTGGGCGTGGGCCGGTGGGCGTGGGGCGTGGGCGTCGCAGGAGTGGGCGTGGGAGATGGGCGGGCGCGTAGGGCGTGGGAAAGTAGCCGAGACGATGGGCGTGGGCGTGGGCGCTGGGCAGTGGGGCAGTGGTGCGTGGGCGTGGCGTGGGCCGTGGGAGTGGGAGTGGGCGCTGGCGATGTGGACTCACGCGTGGGCGTGGCGTGGGAGTGGGACAGTCGCGATCGGGAGTGGGGCGCTTGGGCGGTGGGCGTGGGAAGTGTGCCGATAGGGCGTGGGCGTGGGCGTGCGGGAGTGCAGTAGGGGTGGGGCGTGGCCGAGCTGGCGCAGTGGTCGCGCTTCGGAACGTCGGGGTTGGGCGTTGGGAGTGGAGTTGGGCGTGGCGTGGGAGTAGAGCGTGGTTCGGGCGTGGAGCGTTGGGCGTGGCGCGCTGTGGGGCGTGGGCGTGGGGTGGAGTGGGCGTGGTGGGGCGTCCACGGGCGTGGCCGTGGGCGTGGGCGTGGCGCGTGGGAGTGGGGCGTGGGCGTGGGAGTGGGCCGCGTGGGCTGTCCGCCCCGGCAGTGGAGTGGGTGTCGGCAGCCGTGGGGTGGGCGTGGCCGTTCGGGCCCCATCCCCCCACACAACACCACCCCCCAGCGTGGGCGTGGGAAGTGGGCAGTGGGCGTGGGCGTTCTCCACCCGGCGTGGGAGTGGGCGTGGGCGTTGGGCGCTGGGCCGCCCCCGTCCCGCGGCGTTCCGGCGCGTGGGGTGGGAGTGGCGTGGGGCGTGGGCGTGGGCGTGGGCCGTGGCGTGGGCGTGGGAATGCGTGGCCGTGGGGCGTGGGCGTGGGCAGTGAGCTGGAATGATGGATGGGGCGTGGGGTGGGCGTGGGAGTGGGCGTGGGGTAGTGTGCGTGGCGTGGGGAGTCGGGCGTGGGCGGTGGGCGTGGGCGTGGGCGTGGGCGTGGGCGTCGGGCGTGGGCGTGGGCGTGGGCGTGGGCGTGGGGAGTGGCGAACTTCGATCTAATTCGAAAAGATTTTTCCGCCAGTCGCGATGGAGTTACATAACATCATTTTGTAGTTGTTAGCTCTCTATGATGTATAGCATTTTTTCTTAACCACTTTTCAGGATCGAGCAAGAAAGAAATATGGCAAGTATAAAAGTAGATACTGGGGCCAAAACATTTCGACGTATTTATCGTTCAGGGGGCGTGGGCGTGGGCGTGGGGCGTGCGTCGGCGTGGGCGTGGGAGGTGGAGTGGGCGGTGGGCCGGTGGGCCGTGGGCCGTGGGCGACGCGCCTCGCCTTGAAGGTAGCCGTGAGCGCTATGCGTAGAGGTCTTGTTTGTGGAGGCGAAGGGGCCTACCCGCAGGTAAGAAGACTTGCTGGAAGGAGGCGCCTGGGTGATACTGGGCGTGACACACCAAAGCCGGCGTACTCCAGTCACTGGCCGGCCAATTGATCTGTTTATCATAAAATATTTCTTTCGCTGTGAAAAAAATTCGTATAGATTTCTTGTGGAATCATTCTTGCTATGAACTTGGTTTGCGCATGCCGAAAGCTGTAGTAAACTTGCGCCAGTACGTCTGTCAACACCACGTAACCGACGAACCATCGGGGTGTCAAACCCCACTCCCCCCGCTCACGACGCACGTACCCTCTCAGCAGTGAATTTCCCGGGTGTGTGCAACTGCAGACACGTAACAGCAAGCAAACACCTGCGCGACACTCTTGAGCAAACGTCGCAAAAAGTCCAGGTCAGAAAATTGCGCAGAGCGTGGTCGATTGTCCCGTTGGGAGGGTCCTAAATATGATGATATGGCGTAAACAATCTACCGCCTCGTCGAGAGTGGCATACGCGCTCTGGATTCCTGTAAAGTGGTAATGCTTTAGAGACGCAGATTCAGAACAGCCTTCTCAAGGTTTCGAGAGGTAATAATTTTGGTAATCGGGTTCTCTTGCGAATTAAAGTGTGGTCATTAAATGGCTATTTATTAAAAATTTATGCGTATTTTATGCAAAATCGAATTGGTGAAACCAACTTTCAAGAAGATAAGTATCACCCACGCCCACTCCCACGCCCACGCCCACGCATTCCCACGCACCCACCGCTCGCCTATAGTCCATCCGCGAATCTAGGTTACCAGTGGGTGTTTATCAATTGAGACGGTGCATGGTATAGTAAGCAATCCCCAGAGGATTGATTCATTGATTAGTGATTCCGGGCGTGTCAACAGCTAAGGTCATTATTCCCGCAAGTGTAAGAAATGCTTTTTTTTAATCGGGGGTGGGGGTGGCGATGATTTTACCCTTGTTGGCTGGCGAGATCCGGCGCTGACTTACGTCCACTTGTGGGGATATTCCCTATCTGCCACTGCCCCAGCCAGGGCAAGCTCTAGGTTCCCCACTGGTCTGCCGACGTGCGGGGTAGTGTAGCGCATGTGGGTGTAAGGAGGCGGTGGTGAAACGCGACCATGCCCACGAATCTAGGCTGCGAGTGGGGGATTATCGATTGAGGCGGTGGATGGTAGAGTGAGCGGTCCCAAGAGGAAACCGACTAGGATGTAAGGTGGTGAATGTCGTAATGGGTTCTACTTCGATATAATTAGCTTACGGGGATTTGAGGCGGTTAGCGCTGAAGTGGGGATTCTTAAAATTTCCGAAAACATATCTGTGAACTCTCAATAACTGACCGTTAGAAGCGGCTCTTTGGTCCAGTGTGCAAAACCACTGTAAAGATGCTCGCTGACTCCCTTTCTTCTGTGCGTGAAGGAATGAGAGATAGCCTACTCTGATTACATCGCCTCAGTTACGGTGAGAGATATTAAGATCGCGTACTATGAGTAAACGATCGGTTAATATATCACTGAACTTCACTTTGTTTTACTTCAGATTTGCATTTTAACCACCTCATTTTAATAGTGACGGGAATATGGATTCACAGAGTTCCTCCGAAGACATTTTTTTCTTATTACATGGGGTTGGTACGATGACTTATTACACGGATCTCAATATGGGAGATAAAATTAAGAAAACGAAACAGAGAAGGACCAGAAATGTGGGACCTGACTCATCGCTGATTCAGCATCTGCTCAGCATTCGTCTGACCACGATCAGAGTAGCCGATCCACATCAACCTCTCCCAACGTTGGCTTCCTTTCAGCCAATTAATGTGAACCATCAAAAACTCCTGGAAATTATATATATGTATATATATATATATATATATATATATATATATATATAAGAGAGAGAGAGAGGGAGAGATCAGAAGCAAACGTCACAACCGATGTTACCGCAGCAAATTATAAACACGATTATTCTACTACATCACAATAGTAACTTTACGTGTGAAATATACATACTATTACGAAAAATACACATTGAATAATATATTATTAAAAACAGGAGTATAAATATTCATTATCTTTTACACAAACTCCAAAATTAAAAGCTCTTCAGATTCTTTCTTTTTTTTCACATTTGCATTTAATGAAATTCTGGAGGCCATTTGGTCAATTCAAAAATATTGCCACACAACATCCACAGAATCCGTAAGGTGATCTTTCTGCACTTCATTTTCGATAGGAGTTGGCTTCTCGTTCCGTCTTGCTAACCCTCTTTAGACCTAACATCAATTCGCCAGGCTGGGAGTCATGAATCATACAAAGGTACTCTCTCTCGAAAGAGGTACATCCGTGCAGTGAACCACTTGAGGGGTTTGGTGCAACAGGAAGTCATTCTCCTTTTCTTCGGTTCAAAAATGTACTCTCAGCCATGAAAAAATGCTCTTTTGTTTAGTGCAAGGAGGATGCATCTGAGAACAATAGATCTCATGTTATCCAACATAGTAGGAACCAAATTCACTGAAGCAGAAAGTTGTCTGTGGTTAGAATAAACAAAAATGTGATAGATAATTTTGTTGAGATATATGTGCTTGTCCATAAAGCTCGTGTTCAGACATGCCTAATAACCAGGTATACAATTAAGAATATCGACTTAACGGAAGATTTTAAAAACACCTTAACCCACTTTACCAAAACTTTCTGAAACTTGCAGAAATAACACCTTGTTACTACTATCCTGTTCTTTAATAATTACTTGTTCGAAAACTAATTAGTCGCGATGTCGTTCAGAAGATCAGGAATGTAATTTTATCAATGGATTACATGCATGATTTCTTGCATGACATTCACAATTACATTTTTCTGGATTTTAACATCATTAATCAGTGTTCTTCATTTAGATATTGGGGCAATTGTATATGCAATTTTCTTTCGGAGAGAACAAATTCTCCTATGAAAAACTACAATCAAAATAAGAGCAAAAAAAATACGAATTCTCTGGAAATAAGAATTATAAAAAGTATCGTGGAAGACTTCATTAGCAGATACAAGGTAAATTTAAAACGTTTCGTCTAGAATTAACGGCGCGCCACAGCTGCGACAACCGACGTCTCTTTCCTCCTTGTAATTCGCCGTCATTTGCATTAGTCTGAATAATGAGACCTGCGACACGCGCTATGGCCCCGACGTTGAAGACGTTTTGTTTCTGAGAATTGGGTCGTTCAGGATTCCACTCAAGAGTGAAACTCGCAGAACAGTAATTTACCCACAAAACAGTTCACTCAATTACAATAATTTTTTCAACCAACACCAAAGGGCAGGGAAAAGAAACCCCAAGAGATAGGACAACCGGTTGGTGAAATTGGGGACCCAAACAGAGGCACATTCGCAGGAGCGGCGCCGTCCGCACTCTCGCTGGGGAGGGCCCTAGGCGCTCACGAAAGCCGCTCGGGCCGTCCGCCAAGCTCCCGGCGCGAACGCCCCTGTGCTATGGGCGCACGGCGGGTTTCTTTTTATGTTTTTACATTTTTTTCTATGTTTTTAAATGAAGAAAATATAGTATAATATAGAAAAAAAACAATGTAGAAAATAAATCTAATTTTTCGTTTAAGTTTATGTTAAATTTTATGAACTTCAATTTTATTAAATGTAGACAATAGATTTGAATCTGAAGACCACAAATTCTATAGTCATAAAATATGCTGGGATCGAACCCCCCTGGGCTACGGGCGCAGAACGTATATCGTATTTTATTAAATACAGACACTAGGTCTGAATCTGAAGGCATTAAATTCTATGGTCGAGAAATACGGTTTTAGGCGGATATCGAATGCGTTGACGCCCTGACAGAGTATCATCCAATAGTAGATATCATAGATCTCCTTAGTAGACAGGCAGACAAATTCGTACATGTTACTCAAGTGGTATATACTGAGCCGCTCAAATACTAAATAAGGCGAAAGTGATATTAATAATTTCATTCAAGAGCATTTGGCTATGTATGGGAGACAAACTTTTTTATTTGATTTTTGAGGGAGATTTCCGAATTAGAAGAGTCTAATTTTTTACTCAAATCGCGAAATAGTTTAGGGTTTTGAATAAAACGACATTTTTCATGTAAAAGACAAATATTAAATGCAGAGAAATTCATTTCAATAATTAATGGAAGCATTCATTTCCACCACAACGGCTCGTATTCTGATTTAAGAAGTCGTGCTAAATCGGGATATCCGTTTTCCTCGTCAGCTTCAAATATTGATCTGAAATGTGTGCGGACATCCGGCCAATTTTCGTAACGCTGACGACTCCTGTCGCTCGAGAAGAAACTCGGCGCGGCGCGACCGGTCGCAGGTCCTGCGCACTCGCACGCGTCCGAGACGGAGGTGTCGGTTCTTAAGCGCGCGTGCGGCACACAGTGAGCGGGAACGACGCCGAAATGGCGCGGAATATTCACGCAAATTGCGGAGTTACAATTCTACCAGATGAATATTAGAAGACAACGATGACGAGGAAAGTAAATAAGAAATTTAAAGAGGAAAAAATTGAGCCGTTTTTCGGAAAATTTTGAAAATGTAGTCTGATCTTCAGATGAAGTACTTTAAACAAACAAAATATCCGTTTGAAATTCAGAGTCTCAAGATAAACTAGACATTTGGTATTGTTTATCCCTTTATTTGAACTTTTGTTACATTTACGAATGTAGTATATTAATAGTCGATGATAAATTAGCATCATTTTAGCAGTTCATCTGATGTACCTGTGTTGTTTAGTATATTATAAAGCTCGTTTGAGCGTCAAATCCGAACTAAAATGTCGACCAGTCAATAAATTAAACAATTTTGTCACTGACTTACAATATAAATTCACAAGAACTGTGAATAATTCAGTTGTAAAAAATGAGTAAGAAGTCTCAAAAATAGAACAGTTCAGTCCATTTACAACCTTCCCCCTTTAAGGATCATATTGGGGTTCGCTCCAAATACATATCTAATTATTGGGGGGGGGCGGATTTAATGAGATGTCATTATTTTTCTTTTCACAGAACAATTCCGCCGATTTCTACTAGTAAGTCACTTTTTACATTTTTACGGAATTGTTAATGCATTTTCGCTGATTTAATTGATTTTAATAGTACTTGCTTCAAACGATATTAACTAGGTGCAACAAATGTTCACCACAGAATTCCTGAGTAGCCTATTCGATTACTTCCCTCTTGTGTATTGTAATATCAACCGTTGTGAATACTATGTAACCTAAAGTCCCTGAGACTCCTATCGGCGCCATTGTTACTTCGGACGATTACGCGATAAATAAAGACAGAGATTTTCTTTTGAAGAACAATCCAAACCAAAAGTTGGCAATCTGATTTCACTTGAACAATAGGAAGAAGCTTCAATTACATCAGATTATCTTCTCCCCCATACGTCACATACAGTTTTTTGACTAAATAAATCTAAAATCAGTAACATACCCACCAGCTCGAGGTGTTCATCTGAAGTGGTTTTGATCAAATTGTTTAGGTTATTTTTCTTTATCTTTATTTTTAAAGCATTTTAAGAGCATTTTATTTATCGTTTTTGACATTGTTGTAGGTCTATGTACAAAGTAAGTACACGTAAGTACACGTAAAAAGGCTTCCGCCAACGACGCGGCGTCACCGGACAGCCTAGAAGTCATTGTTGTAGGTCGTCAAACTCAGCTCCCTACTAATTACAATCTCTCGATATTACGAACATTTTACCTTCTACTCTCCTCTTTTGTCTGAGCGTTTTGCCGGGCGCGTGTTTGCCCACTCGGACCCAGTGCGCGCGGCGTGCACTCTTCCCGGCGCGGGGGGGGGGGGCAGCAGGGCGCTCCCGAAAGTCGCACCCAACCTGTCGGAGTGCGGGGTCTCGCCCGCGCCGCTCGCGGTGGTGGCTGGACCGGCCGCGCCACCGGCCCGCCGATCTGGGCTAATCGCGCGAATCGGCCCGGGACGGACCGGGCCGGGCCGCCCCCGTTCGCCTCTCGAAAAACGTGTCCGTCTCGCGACGACCAGGCGCCGGCGCGCCTCCGCGCAGTGGAACCGGGGGGCCGGGCGAGTGGGGCAATGCTCCAGGTCCCGTCGCTTTAAGGAAAACTCGCATTTTTAAAAACGCACTCTTCGGCTGTACATTACTTTTATATCTCGTCAAACTTACAGTATTTATGTGTATTTTTTTTTAATTATTTTTTTCGTTCCATTGTTGCAGAATATTAACGCCTCCGAAAATTGGTGTTGGGACACTGAGGAAGCAACGAAATTTTTTTTCACGCAGAAGTGCATTTGAACTCAATTTCATTGCCACTTCATGAACACTTTTACCTAAAAAAATACAAACAAAAGTTGTTCACCCGCTTCATTTCCTTCCATTAGTCTAATAGATTGACGCTTCCGTAGTGGCTGTGGGAGTAACAGAAAGCGGCGGAATATTCCAGATTACAGTGTTTACAGCCTAATAAGGTGATTTTTAAAAACATTCCGTTAGTCTCTTTTTAGACGGTTATATCATCTAATACAACAAAATATATTTATACGCTTTCTTTCTTTCTATTAATTCATAGCATTAATGCAATAAATGAATGCCTAGAATGAACACATTTCAAAATCTCTCTCTCTCGCGTACAATTTCTTTACAATCACTAATTCTTAATTTGCCATGTTAGCTCTTCGTCTATATTTTCTTGGTTTGTAAAATAAACATTTCTATATTCGAGATATTTATTTCAAATTTTAGTTTCCTTCTTATTAATAATTCCTATCAACAAATTCTTCGCGCAGTTACCGAAAACTAGTAGGATGAAACAAATTAATACTTATGATGAACATCATCAAGGATTAGGTTGTAAGTATGTTCTAAGAAAAAATTACAGTTCCCAATATGAGCCTTTAAATACGTTTTTTCAAGTTTTATTAATAAATTTCAAATTCTTTATAAAAATCATGTTTTTTCCGTATAAATAAATGTGTATCAGCTGCTCATTTGAAGAACCTTCCTAGTTTATTTTTTTGACCGCACACATAACTGTGCGTTTCATCGTGCGATGCAGCTAGAAAGGTTCCCGAAGACGAACTCGATGGGTGGTTCCGGGCAAGCAGACCTGCATGGAGACCGGTGCAGTGGGATGGGTAAAATGCAGGCCCGGCCCACGGAAAGAGACGACATTTTGAGGGCAGATGGCTTCGTGAAACTTCGTGGCTCGGGCGGAATGTTGCAAGAGCAAACACTTAATTGGACTTTCGCTCTTCTTCTTCTTGTTCTTGAAAACAAACGAGGTGTAGACCAGCTTATGCAAATAAGGTACTAATTGAGGAAGTTGAGGTAGAAGAGAGTTTTATCAGAATTCTTCAAAGTAGGTAATATTCCAAACTTTTATAATAGACAATTAAGCAAATACTTATCGAATATTAATTGTATGATTGGGTTCTAAACGGACTGAAAAACTATGTACGCTCCAAGAAACTGGCTTAAAATGCTTTTCAAAGAATTTGCACAGAAAATAAAATCATTATCTTGGAATTTAAGGAAATATCAAAATTACTAGTGGTGTATAAATTATAATATATTATTTTAGGAATGAAAATACATAATTTCATCACTAATTTTAAATAATTTGGTCATAGAATTAAATGATCGATTTACAAAGGCATAGCAAAGAAAATATCCATAACGAGTGCCGAAACTGCCTTTCTGACAAGCAAGAGAGTTCTCCTTTATTACATAGACCCATCAGAACTCTGGGCTCGAAAGTTAACAGAAACATTTGCCAACATTCACATTGACATGTTCACCATATAATTTTCTTCTTACGTCGCAAGTCTTACACACTTGCGGGACGAGGAAGTGACTTGTGGTTGGTTTCGTTGCCAGGACGATGACGTCAACCTGGCTTCGTCCACGCTGGTGGCGGACGGCAAGGGCCCCGCCGAGTCCATTGGTATCGTCATCTCCTACTCCGTGCGCGTCAAGCTCAACTGCGGCACCCTGGGCGGTGAGCTGGTCACCGACGTTCCCTTCAAGCTCCTGCACCCGGCCCCAGGTGAGTGCAAGATTCCTCCCCTCCCCCTCTCCCTCCCCCTCTCCCT